GATACTGACCAGATTTCTGGATGTGACATTGGATACACTGAAGTAGATTCATTTTGTGCAACCTAGAAATTCGATTCTTCCAGGGTTTATGTTAAACTCAGGTTTCTGAATATGAATACACTAAGTGGATAACACTATAAACATGAAACACTTGGATTTAGTCACTGTTTAAGAGAATTTTGTCTGCCAGAGACATCTTTCATATTTACTTCCTCACTTTTCAGGTAATTAGTTTCAGTTCTGTCACAGTGATAGACATTAGCTATTAACTTATACTATTGTTTGGATGTTTGAAAAACAAAATAAATTATATATGTGTGATTACTGCTCATTTTAGCAATCATAAATTTGTTTTGACATGTCATTACTAGCTAGAATTTGTTTCAACGACAATTTTTACCTATCATTTATAACAGCACAAGTTCTCATATTAGAAAACTGAATGTTAATGTGCTGAAAGTTAAACAATTGTAGGTATTACCATAACATTCTGCAAAAACAACAACAAAAACAAGCAATTTCTTACTACTGAAGTGAATGAACTCTCAAATAAATGAACTGGCATATCTGTGGTTTTTGTGACATGCCACAAAACTAAGACTTTAAAAATAACATAAAGCCCGTAAATTCTAATGAAGTAATAACAGTCCACCCTCTGATATAGAAGAACTGAATTCAACATGAATGTGTACTGTAAAATCAGTTTCCATGCAGAAATGTGCAGCAAGAAGATACAAGGAAAGCTGGTTGTATGAAAACTATACTTTTATACACATACGAGATTGGAATGAAGCAAAATATATATATTGTTGAAGTGAAGTCAGCACGGACCACTTCAAATAATGTTTGAACTGAGGATAGATTATGAAAAAAATGCTTCCTTTAGCACTGATGGTAGTCTGTTCTCATTGTTCATTTGTTACAATTATGATTTTAAATATTCAGCGTTATTGAGGCACAATTCAAAAATCAAATTTATTTTGTAAGAGGTTTTCAGTAGATATGTATTAAGAAATTATTGTGACAATCAATTTAGCCTCTTCACCTCACATGCTGTATGTTTCTGTCTCCCTCTCTCTTTTCCCTCTCTCTGCATCACTTCACTTGCCATTTTCCCTTCCTTTATTTATTTATTTTTTTGTAAGTACACCAAGCCTTCACTTGATACAAGTTTCAAAATGTTCAGTAAAGTGTTATCATTGTCTCTACCCTGCATGTTAGGGACCCAGAATATATGCACCGGATAGATGAACATCTATATTATTTAACCACATATACAGTTTCTCCTCCCTTGCTCCTGTAACACTCTTCTACTCTGTGCCTGAGCTGGTTGTATTTTATAGAAAACACACACAAATAACACCATGAGGTATTTACCTTTTGAAATATAATTCATGTTCCTTAGTATAACGTCCTCAAACATAGTTTATGTTTTTGAAATGGGACAATTTCCTCATTTTTATGGTTGAATAATACTTCTATGTGTTCACATATGCTCCATTTTAAAGTATGCTATGTATTTATTTAATATCGCATGTAAATATTATCATTGAGATTTGTGAGAGTCACCCATTACGAAATCATAACTTCAGTCTTCCCACTTATGACTATATCACAATTATTTTATAATAGAGAGAAATCCATGTTTTCAACGTAAAGTTTTTATAAACAAAATTGCCACAAATATTGTTTCATATGTACTGTGTGGTGCACACATGTGTACTTTTGTGTGTCACGTATTTATATCAAGTAATAAAGGGCTTTATCAATAAGGAATGCATTTAGTTTTAATAAATACTCAAGAGATTGAGCTGGTTTCCAATCTCACAAGTATTTATTAGAATTTATAAGTGGCTTCTGATATTACCACTCAAGCTTCATATACCCTTCATATTCATATTATTTTTAATTTTTCATGTATACCCTAATTTCCAGATTTTAAAATTGCCTTCCAATTGTGTGGGTACTTCAACATGGTCCTGTCTGATGGTTAATGAAGTTCTGTTTATTGAATATTTGTATTCTTGTTCATAAAGCACTCATTGGCTTATTATTTTGATAATTTATATTAGTTTGCTTACTTTTATTTGATTTTTTTAATAAACTCTTTGAGTCTTCTAAACCTTTCATTGTTTGTGTTCATTGTAAGATATTTTTAAATGGTTTGTGATTTTTATGCTCCTGATAAGGTCAATTGATGAACGCAAGTTCTGATTTTCAATATCTCTTCTAGTTAGTTGTGTTTCCTGTTCCATTTAAGAATATTTTCATATCTGTCTTCTTATTTTAATTGCATAATTATTCATAAAAACCAAGCTAAGAGACAAACCTCACTGACAATGGTTAAATGGTTAAATATATGTTTACACACCATGAGGTTATTTAGCCCTTTGACAGGCAAGGAATGCTTCTATTTGCTAAATTAAGGAAGAAATTGGAAAATGATATGCTAAATTAAATAATTCCCAACAAATATTTGTAATTTTCCATTATGCCAGCTTGTCTTGACAACTTAACGTCTTAGTCTCATATATGAGCTGCAATTCTGACTGTATTTCTCACATCATTTCTAGAGAGAACTGAGGGTGGAAGTCCTCCTATCAAAGTGGGGGTGTGCTTTCTAACTGTGGTCTAGATAAAGAACTCCTGGCAGGAAGCACTGTGCATGTGCCTGCCTTTGGCTTCTTCCTGAGCAGGTGTGTTTGTTGATGCTGTTACTATTCTCTGTTGCCATGAGACTCCAGCTTCTTCAGTCTCCCAAAGTGGACTCAGTACTAGAGACTCTCTAGGGAACTCCAGGCCTTCTGTGCTACACTGGAACTGCTAAGACATCCAGCTTTGTAGAGTGATCTGTTACCAGTTTCTCTTTTTAGAGAGTAGACAGCAAGTGAACTACCCAGATCCTATCATATAAGCCAACTAATAAATCGCCATTTGTAAAATATGATATATATTACTGATGTAATATAATTAACGACAGTCCGTCATTGTTTGTTAGACTACGAAATTAGATTTTAGGTGTTGTTACAGCAAAACATAACAGGGCTTTGAGGTGATATGTATGCTAATTGCCTTGATTTGATTTAGCCATTTTATAGACCACACATATTTAAAACATAATGTAAAAGAAAGAATATATTCTATGTCTGCCAGTTAAAAATAAAACTTGAAAAGATACCTATGAAGAATATCACAAATTATATCATCTTATATTAATGAAAATTTTATATTTTGGTAGATTAGAGTGAGCTGGCAATTAAGACAGAACAGAAAGTGTGACATCTGCTGGCTTCATAGACTTCACATGATAATATATTCAGCTGTTGTTTTATGAAATTTATACTTAATAAAATGTAAGAGTAACTTATTATGCAAATCAACATATAAAGTTCACACACTAAGAAGTTAAAGAACAAATTGGACTGGACAAATTTTGAAAGTGAAATACAATTAATAAAATCAACTCTGTCATTGCCTAACAGGCTTCTACATATGCTGTTTGAAAAATAATGTCCGATAATTATTTAATTGAAAGAATAACACTATAATTTAAAGTGTGCATGTAAGAACATAATTTTCTTTTCAGAAATAGTATCTATTGTAGTGAAATATATTCTAATTCACAAAGAAATCGTTCAACTTTTAGTACAAAAGGCAAGATATGGCAACATGTGAAGTAAGATATGGATCTAGATTTTTCTCTTAAGTGTTAAATTTGCAAGTGGAAATTTAAGATGAAATATTTTTTGTATTTGTATTTTTTGTTCTTTTGATTTACAATTGTTAATGTGAATTGTCATGTAAGCATGGAAGCATTTCAATGTTTTTTTATATATTTAATGAAAATTCTTCTTCATCTAAAAATGATGTACATCCCAGTAACTTTAAAGTGTATTTAAGTGTATTTAAAATGTATTTAAGTAATTGATGATTTTTAGAAATGGCTGCATTTTGATACCATAAGGCTTATTTTTTTTGCTTGAAAATACTAAACTGTGCCATAGAACCCTCCAATGTGATAGTACGATGGCTATTCTTGACATCATGATGTTGCATTGTGCCACTACTATGCTCATTTGTCCCATCAAAATAGTATATTGTGATAACATAATGTGTTTTGTCACTATCATACTCTGTTATTTCACTGGAATATAGCAGTGTAGCATCTGAACATTCCATTGTACCATCACAATACTGAATTTTGCCATCAGCGATAGGTTTTATCATCATAATGCTAAAGTTTCTATGTACTATCACTGTGCTCAGTCTGATAATAAAATATTTCATTGTGACAGCAGTGCAGAACTGTGATATTACATTGTTGCAGTTTCCAAAGACTATATTCTGCTACACCATGACAATTCAGCACTGTGATATCACAATCTTTAACCATAATATCAGAATGTTTAATTATGACATCATAATGATCCATTGTGCCATTGTAGTATTCATTTGTACTCCATTGTGCCATAACAAAAACTTGTATCACAACCCCAAGTTGAGACATCATGATGTTATGGCAGCACAAATCATCATTGTGCCATCACAGTATTCCATTGTGACAGCACAGAAGTCAATTATGTCATTACAATATTAACTGTGAGATCATAAAGCTGAATCATTTCATCATAATGTTCCTCTGTGCCATTGAAATGATGTACTTTGCCATCAAAAGGCTGCAATATAAATCATAATAGTGTATGATGCCATTATAGTACTGTATTGTAGAATCACAGTGCTGATCGTGTTATCACTGTGACATCATAATGCTCCATTGTTTTGTCACAGTGTTGGATTGTGATATCACAATGGTTCTTTTTTTTTTTTTTTTTTTTTGAGACAGAGTTTCTTTGTGTAGCCTTGATTTTCCTGGGCTAGCCTTGAATTTGCAGGGATCAGCCTGCCTCTGCCACCTGATTGCTAGAATTAAAGGAATACTTTTTTTTTTTTTTAAGCCTGGGCAAAGTGACTTTATTAGAGTGCCAGGATCACAACAGGACTTAGGAGTTAGCATTGGGGCCCTTCTTCTTGCCAAAGATGGGAATGACATTGACAAAGCGATGATTGTACTGCATTGCATTCATAGCTTGGCCCAACCTGTCTTCTTCTTCTTCTTCTTCTTCTTCTTCTTCTTCTTCTTCTTCTTCTTCTTCTTCTTCTTCTTCTTCTTCTTCTTCTTCTTCTTCT